AAGTTTGCTCAGTACCTGGATGGCAGGTCTCCCAAGAATCCTAATTTTTCTGCCTTGAGTTTCATGATGGAGTCATGAAATCACCAGGACATCAATACAATAATAAACAATCTCTTTATGGCATTTCCATAAATAAGGAGCTTTTGTCATGTCTAGGTTCTTAACTGCTAAAAGATTGCTTCTCTCACTAGCAACCCACATAACAGCTCCACTCCTCAGACCAAGGCCTACCAGGTGTTCCTTCCTGGAGGGTAGCTAAGACAGTCAGTGCTACAGCTGGGGCTTTTGCAGTGGCTGCTCCTATTGTACGGAATAGCCCTTGGAAGCCTTCCATGTCGTCAAGATTCCACAAGTTGTGCAAGGAAGAATTATTCAGGAGGTCTTTTGACACAGCCACCCAATTTTAAATCGCACGTTTGTTACTTTTTATGGATTTTTAATTACATTTTTTTAAAAAAAAATTATTGTAAGCTATCTTGAAGCTGCTTTCAGAGAATGGTGACCTAAACGTTTTCTAAAGAAAGAATGATGGTTAATAAGAGTTATTTTTATCCCTCAATTTCTGGACTACTTCATTTTAATGGCTACTTCTTTTTACTGCTACTTGAGAAGACCTTCAGCGGTCGGAAGTGGGTTCCCTCACGTGATTTTTTCGCAGACTAGACTACAGAATATTCCAAGAAATAGTCCATAGAGAAAGAGGAAGTGATTTTCTCAAGATCACAAAAAAAATCTGTGGCAGAGCCCCAAAATAAATATCCCATTTTCTTTTCCTTATTTTCTCCCCACTTACTGTGATTTCTTGTTGTGAGACTGGGGTATGTCAGTCCTGGAGCTGAAGAAGGTAAAAAATGGTTGGTGGTCTCAGGGTCTGGAATAAACAAGAAAAATGGATTTACAGGCTAAACGGCTGCCAAATGACCAAAACTGAATGGCCAAGTTTGTTCTTCTGCCTGTCTTGCCTCAACCACACTGACGTATGAAATACGAAATCCATGGCCATTATCTGAATCTATTTCTTGATCACTTCATACACATAGCCCTGTATCATTGCACAGATCCAGCATGTACAGACTTACCCGTCACAGAGACATTTATCAAGGCCACACAGTTGGTGTCATGGTCTTGAAGTTTGTAGCTCCCACGGGTGTCTCTGCTCACATTCAAGAGTCTAAATGTCCCATCGACAATAGAGACATGCTCTTTGAAGGAAGAGCTGTACTTTTTTCCACTGGAAAAGTCCCAGGCATACACCCATCTGAGCATCAAGTTGTCCCAGACACAAAGATCTGAAATGGTTTCAGAGGTATTCAGTGGCACCTCTACTGAGCGTCCTTCTTGTGCCTCTCTTTCTGCCGTGATGGTGCAGCTTCTTTCATCTGTCAGGGATGGGGAACAAGAAGGGGTTAGTTCAAGTAGCAGGTTTGTAACTGTGTTTAAACATAGTTTGCATAGGAAATTCAGCTGACATTCATCACTCCTGAGGTCTGTTCCTGATTGTGAAATTGAATGGTTTGTTGCTGGGATCGATTCTCTGGGAAAGGAACAGGGCTGAATAGTGTTGTTTAGAATTGGAGGCAGGTAGATAAGGAATGCCTTGCAAGTTTATGAACTTCCTACATGAACATCCCTCATGTATAAAAAATCTACGGACAGTCCATATGCAGACGATTGCTCACTCGCAGTATTCAAGAGCACGTAAGCACAGTTAAAAGGTGTATATTTTGTTATGATACATGAATCTTGATATTTGAGTTTCTCACTGTTTTCCATGCAAATACATGCTGGTTTGGGCTCAGCTTTAGCTGTGCGTCACAGACACTTGTGCACAATACAGATCTCAACACCTCCATCTGCATCAAAGGGCTCATTTGGCCAATGGAGCAGGCACATCTGCATGTATGCACATCAGCTGCCCTCCACACAGGGCCGGCTCACCCGCTAGGTGAACTAGGCATTCGCCTAGAGTGCCGGGCCCTGGATGGGGCGGCAGAGGGCCATGGATGGGGTGCTGCGCCGAACTGTGCCTCCCCCCGCCAAATGTCATTAAAGTTGGAGGCCATGGCCGGGGCAGGCCGGCTGTGGCACCCCCCCTCAGTGCCCAGGTGCTTCTTTCCTCCTCCTCATTCTCCTGATGCCTCCTCTGGTGGAGCATCTGCGGCCACCGGCTCCCAAGGAGCCTCTGGTATCCAGGCGGTGGCAACGGCGGAGGCTGAGCAGGTCCTTTGGCGTGTGCCGGGCACCCACCTCCCGATGCAGTCTGCCCCCCTCCTCCTCCCGCAGGGCGACTCCACGCTCAAGGCCGGCACCGAACAGAACCAAGCTGGTGGCTCTGGGGCTCAGCGGTGGGAGACGTGCAGGAGAGGGGAAGAGACCGCCGCCACGCCACCACCATTGCTTGGAGCACAGAGACAGATGGGGGGAGCGGGGTTTTTAACAGGCCGCTGCATGATCCCCCAGCCAACCTCAGCAGCCCCTGAGCCGACCTCATCCCACTGCACTGAGGCATGAGCGACTCAGGGAGAGAAAGAGGCAGGGATCTAGGCAGCGGCGGTCACCTGGTCTGGGAAATGCAGGGCTTTTGGCGGGGGTGGGTGCAGTTTGTTGCCCTAGGGCGCCAAACTGCACCCGCCACTGCCAAAAGCCCTGCCAGTTCTGCTTTCATTGCAGGGGAGGGGGAGGGGGCCCTGGATGGGGCGCCGAACTGTGCCTCCCCCCGTGCCCTCCCCACCACTGCCAGGACCGCGACTGCTGCCGTCACACAAGTTTGCAAAAGTGGGGAGGGGGGATTTCCCACCACCCACCACCCTCCTCCGTGCCTTCGGCTCGCTCTCCCCTCCACCACTTACAGCAAATGGAATCAGCTCCGGCACTCCCCCGTTGCCTCTCTGCCTCTCTGCCTCTCTGCATAAGGTATCCATGGGAGGGGGTAGTGGAGAAGCCGAGTGCTGCCTTTGCTTGCTGCCGCTGTGGCTGCTTTCCCATTCCTGGCACAGGAAAAGAAAATGGGGGGGGGGGAGAAACAGCGATTCCCGTGCTGATCCTGAGGAACCGGGCAGGGATGAGGCTAGCTTGTGGCGCTTGGTGGCCCGGCGGCCCCCACTCCCAGGCGTGTTTCTGGGAGGTCTGTAGGCCCCACCGGGAGGTTGACATCTGCGCTGAGGGGGTGCGGGCGCCACAAACTAGCCTCGCCTAGGGCATAGAAACACCTCGGGCTGGCCCTGCTTCCACAGACAGATATCTGTTGATGGATGGGAAGGTTTTTTGTAAAATCTCTCGTGTCCCTTAGACCTTGGGCTTCCGGAATTTTGGAAATAAGGGTGTGATGGAATTGGTTTGGTAGAAGAGCCAGACAGAGATCTTGAGTTCCCTGGCAGGAGAAGTCATTCTAGTGGGCTGGGCCAATGGTGGGAACCAGAACCTTGGGTGCCCTAGAAATAGAGTGTAGTCTGATAATGGAGAGCAGGGCATTCAGGATCTGGACTCCTGAGTTTTGTGTTCCCATCTCTAGATGAAGAACAATGGTTGTGTCAAAACCAGGGGTCATTTCCTGCAGGAGTGCACAGGAGCGGAGCTCCGGCAGTAAGGAGCCCAGGGGGTGGGCACATGCAACAAACCTCCCCCCCTGCTCCCAGCAGCCCTCAGTCAGAGCAAGAAGCAGCCAGGTAACCTGCAGAGCCCCCCCCCCGGCCCCCAGGTCCAAAACAGTCCAGTGGCACCTTTAAGACCAAGTTTTATTCAGGTACAAGCTCTCCCTCCTCTGCAAGGACAGATCTGCATGTTCCCCCCCCCCCCAATAGCTAGCAATCCAAAATGGTCCAGTGGAGCCTGAGCGGTGGGTGTTGCCTTCTGACACACTTCCGGTGATGTCAGGGGGTATGGCATATGCAAATAAGTTATGCTAATGAGTTATGCTAATGAGCTCCTGCCCCTCTTTTTCTACGAAATGACCCCTGGTCAAAACTGGTGAGGTGCATAAAACTTAAATGTCTTACCTTGGCAATAATCTGAGATGACGGGATGGAGAGTCAGCACAGTGAGACAAAAGCCCCATTTAATAGTTCTGATAAGCAGGTCAGCAGGATCCATCGGTGCACATGGAACAATTTAGCCTAAGAAGCATATTTTATAAAACAAAAGTAAGAGCCAACAGATAAGAGCCAAGGAATCAAATTTCATTGTCCCACAATATTTAGCTGCTTTAACAAAATCTGTTCTCTCCTTTCCATTTTTTTTTTTAAATTGATTGATATTTGTTGAAAATTTTCAGCAAACAGGACCTCGGTAATCAAATTGCAATACTTTAAAACCCATAACACGTTTAAATGAGAATATTTTCTGAAAATACAAGTCCAAGCCATTAATTTTATAGCATAATAATTATTTCCCCCCATTTTTAATTATTCTTTTAATTAAGGCAATGACAAACATTATGCAGCAAAAAGAAAAATCACAAACAAAAAGGAAGAAGAACCCTATAAAGTTCATACAATTGTGTCATGTTAATCTATATAAATAATAGAGAGTTATGCAATGCCTCAAAGAAATAAAATGGGTTAATGGGGGGGAGCCTGGAGGACTGAGCCGAAGCCGTGCCGGAGTGTGCCACGCGACAGAAGGGCCCTGCTGATCTGCCACCGAAAGACCACCGGAAAAAGAAGAACCGGAAGCCAAGACGCCGAGCCGACAAGCCGAGCCGGGAAGAAAGACCAACCAGTCCCTCCACTGGGTGCCGGTAGGGCTGTCCCCACCCCCAGTATCTCTGTGGCCATAGGTAGGGATAATTGATTAACTGTAAGCCGCTCAGAGACCCCTTGGGGGGGTTCGAGTGGGGTAGTAAGTCAAAAGATAAATAAATAAATAAGCCCAAAGACACCATCCAGCCAGTGCTAAGCTCTTTCAATGGTAGAGTATAATACATGTTCATATCTTTCTAATGGGCATCATGGGAAGGCAGTGCTTAAATCTGGCTACGTCTTTGTTCACCGAGGCTAGAGGGATCGGTTGTAGTGGCTGGGTGCCTTTCGTTTTTGCCTGGCCCCACCTCAGAGAGCACCGTCCTTCCCGCCATCAGCTGCTACTAGCAAGGCCATGAGAGGTGCAGTTCCAGCTCCTTCCGCTTTGCCATCAGCAGAGCCAAAGGGAAGCAGTCAGGGAGGCACCCTTGTGGTGTGCATGAACCCTGACCTCACTGAGAGTTCCATCCTTGAACACTATCTGTATTAGCTAAAAGCAGATGTATGTTACCTCAGGAGAAAGTTTTTGGCTGAAAAGTGGGGTGCAAATACAATCAATCATGCCGCCCTTTTGCGAAACTAAATTTTCAGTTTAAATATTCTCTTCTGAACTCTAAAACATGATCACATTGTTCTAATACATTTCTTGGAAGTACTTTTTAAAAAGTCAGTTTGAGGAACGAGTAGTCAAGAGAAAGCAAGAAAAACAGTCTTTCCAATACCAGCATTGAAAGGAGATGTATTTAACTTTTTTTTTTGCTAGCACATATGATTGATTGACAGTGCCATCCTAAACGGAGTGACACCCTTCTCTAAACCCATGGATTTCAATGAACTGGGAAGGATGTAATTCTGTTTAGGATGACACTGTAGGGTCCCATTCACACTTGCCAGAAAACGCGGGGGGGGAGGCGTGGCTTTTTGCAGCGGCGTACTTTGATCCGGCCGGCCGTGATTAGATGGGAATCAGGTTTCACTTCGTCAGCGCGCGTTTCCAGCGCACCAGAGGAGCTGCTGGAGCGATCAGACAGAGGATGTCCGTCTGTGGCCCATTGCAAGCATTAGCTACTGCACTTTCGCTGATAGCTTTTAACTGCAGATCTTCGGCCGGACGCAATGGGCTGGCAACGGGTGCACGACGCCTGCCAGATGCGCCCGTTTGATCGCGCCCTTAAGATCCGCCTGGCATCCGTAAGTATCCCGTGGCAACTTCTACATGTGATCAGAGCCTAGGTTTAATTTAGGAGAGAAGAGATTGAATTTATACTCCACCCTTCACTACCCAAAGGAGTATAAATCCAACCTCTTTGAGAACTGCTCATGCGAGAACAGCACTAAAAGAACTTGTGACTGACTCAGGGTCACCCAGCCAGCTGCATGCGGAGGAGTGGGGAAGCAAACCCGGTTCTCCCAGATTAGAGTCTGTGTTCCTAACAAATATGCCAAACCAAAGTAAAGTGGTTTCCAAAGAGACAATTAAAATGTTCTCCAACAGAAGAATTGGAGGGGGATAGCTAGAAACCCAGCAAAAGAAAGCACCACCATCCCAGTATATTTTTCCCCCATGCCTAGTGATTCAGTGATGACCTACTCTAGTCCAGCTAGATATGAATCCAGTAGCACCTTAGAGACCAAGAAGATTTTCGGGGTAGAAGCTTTCAAGAATCAAAGCTCCGTTGGTCAGATCCTTAGTTTTGATTCTGACAAAGGGAGCTCTGACTCTTGAAAGCTCATATCCCAAAGGTGTTATGGACCTCTGAGGAGCTGCTGAACTCAAATCCAGCTGTTCTACTCCAGACCAACATGGCTGCCCTCTGAGACTACTCTAGTCCAAGGGCTTCTCAGGTGAGTTTAGGGCTGCCAAGTCCCCCCCGGAGGGCGGAAATCCCCCCGCCCCAGAGGCCCGTTCCCCGACGCCGGGGAATTGGGCCCCGGGGGGAACCCCGCCCCAGCGTGCACGTCACAGGAAAGTGATGTCATGACGCTGGGCACGCTGGGGGCGGGGCCACGGCTATACAAGGGAAAACTCTATGGCTTTCCCTTGTATGGTCGTGGCCCTGCCCCCAGCATGCCTGACGTCATGATGTCACTTTCCTGTGATGTGCATGCGGCACGCGCACGCACGCGCACCAGGATCCAATCAGGAGTCCCCCGCCAGCAGGGTAAGTGCCACTTGGCAACCCTAGGTGAGTTATGAGTGTAGTACTCTGGTTTGCTGAATAAGTTTCTTTCGCTGGAGTCAGCAAGCCAGAAAAGCTCCTTATGCCCTGACATTTTATCGGGCTCTTCCGCACTCTGATTTTCATCACTTGTGTGTTCCTACTGCTCCAGGTTTCCCCCCTGCCATGTGTTTTGTTTTTTCTAGTAGTCCCAGAGGGAGCAAAACACATGTGGAAAAAGAAGGGGGGGAACCCAAAGCAACAGGGACAATTGAGTGACAAAAATGGCAATGTGGAGATGCTTCTGGGCGGCCCAGGCAAGCCTGATCTTGACAGATCTCGGAAGCTAATCAGAGTCAAACCTGGCAAGTACTTGGATGGGAGACCTCCAAAGAATACCACGGCCAGGGGGCCACAGGTAGGCTATCAAGCCACTTCTCTGAACGTCCTCCATGCCCCACTAGGAGTTGCCAGAGGTCACCATGACTTCCAGGCATGAGCACACATACATACACAAATGCAAAAAGCAAACCAACCCCAACAAGGAGAAAAGCTCCTTATTAGAGCCTCCCCCTCCCCCCTCCGGACCTCCTCACCTGTTCCAAAATTCACACAATACTGTCTGCAGTCTGTTTGATGAAATCTTTCCTCTGGTCCTTCAGTGGCTGGACCAGTAACCACACTGCACTGTGAGAGCAGCGGGTCTGAGCTTTGTATCAGCCCAAATATAGCCCACAATCACGTCACGGACAGTCTTGCCCAACAGATGAACACATGCAGGCGACCACAAGAGATGAACACACACAGGATGGTGAAAACCTCCCCGAGCAAGTGAGGCATAGGTTCTTTTTAACCACTCTCCCCCTGCAGCTTTTTATCAGTAGATTCATCATTACAGGCACAGGAAACCACATAAGCCTAACTAAGTGGTCAGCAGCTCACTTCCCTTCTGTAGGTCCATGCTGCATATTACGTATTTCATTAGATTAGAAACAACACTCCCGTCGTTTTTGATACACCAAAACACTCTCTCTTTCTTTTGCTGTTCACTTCTAGCTTCTTGTAAAATCAGTTGATCACTGCGCTTGCTTCAAAATATTTATTAGTATATAACTTTTTTGTTAATTTGACATTTATTTTGCCGGTTTAGCAGCATCTTTTTCATGAGGGCTAGAAACTAGCCTTTTGTTTAAACTCTGCAAGATTCTTCAAATGAGGCATACAGTCAGAGGTCATTTCGGGGGGGATCGCGGGAGAATGCAGTTCCCCCGGGTGAGGTGCAGGGGGCGGGGCACACGACGAAGCCCCATTCCCTGCCGGGACCATTGGGGGTGGGGTGTGTGGCCTTATGACACACTTCCGGTGATGTCAGGGGGTGCGGCCTTATGACACACTTCCGGTGATGTCAGGGGGTGCGGCATATGCTAATAAGTTATGGTAATGAGTTCCCCTAGCTCTTTTTCTACGAAACAACCCCTGCATACAGTCACTCCAGGAGTCCATTGTGAAGGGATGAGTTAACAATGTAATTCTAGGAGGAAGCCCCATTGAGTAGGCTTTAGTTAGATTCTGAGTAGACCTGCTTAAGATAGCTCTTTAACTTGCCCTCTCTTTTGTTGGAGTGAGCCACTCAGCATGCCTGGACATGGGGAGGGGCACTACATCACTCTAACTTTGTATAAGGGTTATCTCCTTGAATGGAATGCCTCACTTTGGCTGATTTCGCACTAGAGCTGCCTTGATGTTGCGCCGCCATTTGGTCAGTTTCACACCCGAAGCTGCGGGGCTGCATTTGACCCGCGGCTGCGCCCGATTTCCTCCGCAGTTTCGTGATCCTCAAAAAACAGGATCACGAAACTGCGGGGGAAATCGGGCGAAGCCGCGAGTCAAAATGCAGCCCCGCAGCTTCGGGTGTGAAACTGACCTATAGTATCGGGGCAAACGGCGGCGCAACATCAAGGCAGCTCTAGTGCGAAATCAGCCTTTGTCTTAACCTGGGAGCTGCCCTCGGACCCTTATTTTCTCTCTGTGTCCTTTGTTTTGCCCCCATTCTGCACATGGCCCTTCATGGAATCACACATCTCTACAGGTCTCACCAGTAGGAACGATGCCCTCATACTTCCATACATATGATGCCAGGTTATCTGGCCACTTGCGATAGGAAAAGTAGATTTTAGATGAGGCTTCTCTCCTGCTATATGAATCAAATTACCATTGCCCTAGTCTAAACTGAGGTGTTCCATGACTGCTATGTATGAAGAAAAAATTGTGTTGTATTTGCATTCACAGATCTTCCATTTTCTTGCCTGGCTCTAACACTTGAATTCTGACTCCTCAAAATTAAGGATGCTTGTGAAGTTCTCTCTATCTGTATTTCTCCTTGGTGGCTCAAGTGGTTAAGACACTGAACTACAGGCTGTGGAAGGTCGATAGTTCAGCAGTTCGAGACCCGGGTTACCGCATGACGGAGTGAGCTCCTGTCTCTAGTTCCAGCTCCTGCCAACCTAGCAGTTCGAAAGCAAGAAATTGCAAGTAGATAAATAGGGACCACATCAGTGGGAAGGTAACAGCGTTCTGTGCGCCTTGGTGTTTAGTCATGCCGGCCACATGACCACGGAAATGTCTTCGGACAGCGCTGGCTCTTCGGCTTTGAAACGGAGATGAGCACCGCAACCCTAGAGTCGGACTCGACTGGCTTTCGAGCAAGGGAACCTTTACCTTTTTTATTACAAAAGTAGAACTGATGCATGAAGTGTTGGGATTAACTAGTATAGTTAGTCCAGTAACCACTGAGTAGTTAGCAGAGTGCATAAAGCTTCCTGCACAGGAGCATGTCCAACCAGGATAACAAAGCTTTGAGTGCTAGAAAGGTACACAGAGCCACATTTTCAGTTTAAAAGACCAATACTAGTCTCATTATTCTAGAACTACAATCTGGATACGTAAGGTGAGAGACAGGATAGACTAGGTGAAAACGATCAAGAGTCCAGATGTAGCATAGTGAAATCAGCTGAAGTTTATTAGGTTACATCCAAACGAAGAGATAAACTAGCCAGTCCGAGGCCGGCTTATATGTGTGTTCCCCTCACAGCCAACACACCCCCAATTCCCGTGATAGGCTGTATTTACATGACCCAGGCTACAATAGGTCTAAATCAGGATCCGGGTGACCCTATTGGCGCGCGCTAGGATCCGTGGTGGCTATTGTTTAAGGACCGAAGGTCTGCTTGACCTTAATACATTACACCAGGATAGTCTAACTAAGGATGGACTCAGATGGTGAGAGGCCACAGATGGGACAGCATGTCATCCCTCTTGGTGCATGCAGGAGGAAGGAGAGAGAAGTTCTTGGGGGGGGGGAGAATGAACAGAAGGAAGGAAGTTGTTCCCTGAGATCTCAATTCTACATATCAAAGGGATAGTGACAGGAGAGTAAAGGTCACTGTGACTGCCCCTTTCTGCACTCTTCTTTTAATCCATGTTCTCCGCGGTGTCCTCCGAGCAATTCTGCACCAAAATCGAATTCAACTTTCTTTTTTATCCAGGTTTCTCCTCCCCCCCATTCTGCACTAAAACTGAGTTCAACCTTCTTTTTAGTCCAGGTTTCCCCCCCATTCTGCATTACATTCCCTCCCTTCAGTGGTCAGCCAGGTTTCAGCCTGATGTTGCCCCAGGTTATTTGGATGCTGTTTTGTCATGGACTTAAATTGCCTCGACTCACACTGAGAAAATCCGGAGTGGCAGGCAAATGTGGAAAGGACATATCTAACTATCTGTTTCCCTTGCCACAAAGTCTGGAGACTGAGATGGGACAGTGCCTTCACTGCACCAGGGGGGACAGAAGGAGGCAGTAGTTCACCCTCTTCTTAAGAAATCTTCTCTGGACCCGATGGTCCTATAACTACCGCCCAGTATCCAATTTGCCATTCTTGGGTAAGGTGGTAGAGAGGGCAGTGGCAATACAAGTTCAGGCTTTCCTGGATGAGACTAAGGTCCTGGATCCATTCCAGTCTGGCCTTCTCCCCACCCATGGGACAGAGACAGTGCTGGTCGCCCTGGTGGATGATCTCTGGAGACACCTGGATCGAGGCGGTTCGGCGCTGCTGATCCTTCTCCATCTATCAGCAGCATTTGATATGGTTGACCATGAAGTGTCAACCCTCCGCCTTGCTGATGCCAGGATACGGGGGCTTGCCTTGCAGTGGCCAGCCTCCTTCCTTCAGGGTCGGGGACAGAGGGTGGCACTTGGGGGGGATTTATCCCAGCGGCATCCACTAGAATGTGGCGTTCCGCAGGGAGCGATTCTCTCCCCCATGTTGTTTAATATCTATATGCATCCCACCAAGATTATCTGGAGATATGGGCTGAGTTGTCACCAGTATGCAGATGACACCCAGCTCTACCTACTGATGGACAGCCGCCTGGACACGGCCCCAGGACACCTTGACAAGGCGTTACCGTCTGTGCCTGGATGGTTACGACAGAGCTGACTGGAGTTAAATCCATCTAAGACGGAAGTCCTGTACCTGAGTCGTGGGGGATTGGGTCAGGGGATCAGGCTCCCAACCTTCGATGGGGCTCCATTGGTGCCTATGTCGAGTGTGATGAGTCTGGAGGTGTTCCTGGATGCCTCCCTCTCCATGGAGGCCCAGGTCACCACCACTGCCAGGTCCGCCTTTTTCTATCTGAGGCAGATCAAGCAGTTAGCCCATATCTTACTCCCTGAGACCTAGCTAGAGTGACCCATGCAATGGTCACTTCCAGACTGGATTATCATAACTCTCTCTACATGGGGCTGCCCTTGACTCTGCTCCGGAAGTTGCAACTAGTGCAGAATGTGGCAGCGTGGGTGTTGACGGCGACGCCTGTGTGGGCTCGTATCCACCCAATGCTGTGCAAACTGCACTGGCTGCCTATCGAATTCCAGTTCTGTTTCAAGGTGCTGGTGCTTACCTTTAAAGCCCTATACGGCCAGGGGCCAGCGTACCTGCGAGACTGCCTCTCCCCATATGAGCCCTGGAGGACCTTGAGATCTACAAATTGACATCTTCTAGTGGTCCCCGGCCCCAGGGACGTCCGATTAGTCTCGACCAGTGTTTGATCTAGGTTGGGCATATCCTTGCCAAATCCAGCAACCCATACTCAATGGAAACATTGCTGGACAGCCGTTGTGACTGGCTCCTCTGTTATGATTCTGCATTGGCTTTTCCCTCCGTTATTTTAACAAACCCACGTTGGAACAGAAATTCCCCTCTCCATTGCATCCTGCTTTCACTTCCTTTGATCATGGGATTTTATGGTACCCTCCACACTCCATGCCCCTTTAGGTTTCTTTGATCACCATGTTTTATGGTACCTTCTGCATCGATTTATGGCCATTCTATGGCCGTTCAGGTGTGACTTGCAGTCAGTACAGGTGTTGCCCCAAGGAGGTATTTGAATGTGGTCTTGAGCTGTACTTTTTCCTCCGTGTTGAGAAAATGTGGAGCGAATGCCAGATGCCAGAACCAGCCCCTGTCCAAATGGTTTCAGATGACAAACATGAGCAGCTGCTGAGTTTGAATGACAGTTGCTGGGACTTCCAGACTGGCAGGAGATCTCCTACTGACAGCCCTCTTCCCACACCCTCCCATAGTGGGCCAGCAAGGAGGAAACGGGAGAATCACCATCACCA